TAACCTGTTCAAGGACAACGCATTTCAATCTCTTTTTCTTCAAAGTCACACAGTGACCTATATTCTTGGTTCTAACAATCTTTTTAATCCTTCCCAGTCCCCATCTTATCTCTATGATCAAATCGTCCACCTCATTCATTTAACTCGCCACAAATATCTTTTTATTCAGATTCGACTTTTTCACGTACCATCCCATGCTGACACGCAAATACAAGGGTCCTATAATTTACTTCAACGGAAAATCATCCGTTACAATGATATGTTGCTTCACCTGCATTTGGCTCCTCAGCTTCTGATTACTCCGTTCGATTTTCACGCTAATATGCTTCGTAGGGATAACATTCACCCTAATCCTCTCGGTATCAGCATTCAACCAGTCTGTTATGTTCCATGCTCGATTTCTTCTAAGAGTTACTAGTTAATTTTATTCGGTACACTTTCTTTGTCCGACTTCAAGGCCATTGCTTATCTGTATCAATAATACACGTATATTCACCATACACGAAAACCAATTAATCATGATCAAAATTGTTTATCTCTTCTATCTTCATCAGGTTCCATTTTCATATTTTTCCTGTACAACACCTTGACATTTCTCATCAGTCATCCGCTCACGCCCATATACACTAGGTAGTCACACGTACTTTAACGTCATATCTTTGGCTCTGGCTGTCCAACGGTTCAAGGTTATTTGAATTCACTCTTACTGAGGTCATAATCGTGTTTTTTTTTGTTTTTTTGTTCTCTTATCTCTATTCTCTCTTTTTCTCTCTCGTTCTCTCCTCATCAAGTATGTACTCACAAATTTTCGCTTCATTTAATTACCAAGTACTAATCAGAATCATCGCTCAATCGCTCGCTAATATTTCTTAGTCTACACTCCTACGATATTACATACGTTAAGTCTCATTACGGTACGTAGTTTGCATGTCGATTATTTTTATGGTTTGTTTCCTGCCTGCGTTGCTTCTTCGGCTCGTTTTTGTTTCCAGACTTGTAGCACATGTTTCCCTGCCGAATGGCGCTCTCACACATCCCGATACAGGACTATTTTTGGATTTTATCGGACCCTATACTGCTGCTCATCGCATAATCTCTGTCTCGGCTATTTGTCCGCTCATTCATGAAACGTGTTATCTCCTACCTGTTGAAGTCACTTTTCGGATTCCTCAGTGTAATACATTCTTTGTTTCGCGACATCGTCGCTTAATTTTGGATATTATTTCTATCGGTATAGGATCTACGATTCTCGCAACATCCATCGGTAATACCGTTCAGCTTTCTGCTCTCAGGCGTCAAGTGGATGCTGTTAAGTCCCTTTTAGAGGACATAGCTCAGGTTGGGAACATCACTACTGCCCATATCGCTTTTCTCCAAGCTGGAACGCTCCGTTTAGGATCGGAACTGCAAGCAACTCAAGAAGCTCTCAACCGTACTATCCAAATACTCAATGACCATTCTCAGGCCATTCAGTACCTTGACCATCGTATCACCATCTTAGAAAAGCGCGTTGATACATCTTTCCTTTTTCTGGCGTTGCAGCAAATTTTACGCAATGAATTAACCCTTTCCTTTTTGTCTCCGACGGATTTGAATAGTTTTGTTCAAACAGTCATTGCCTCTAGCAATATCATTCTGCGTCCGTTTTCGCATAAAGTACCCCTCGGCATGTTGATATCAAAGCTTCTGGTTCGTCAACAAATTGATTTTATCCCATCCACCTCCTACGCTCGTCAGAATCCTCTCGAACAAGGACGGCTCATTTTCACTAGCTATTTTGCTGTAATTCTCCCTTCGCAATTCCCTTTTTCCATCTACAAACTCACCACCGTCCATTTTTATCATCAGAACAACACCGTTCGGCTTGCTCATATGCCGTCCTATCTTGCACCGAATCCTCGAGATAATACTAGTATTGAGTGGTATCCGGAGGATCTCTCTAACTGTGATTTCAACATCATGCCAACTTGTCGAGATACTCCCACTATTCGCACTCTTTCAACCAATATCTGTCTGACACAGATTCTCTATAACTGACCTCTAGACAACTGGTTTACCGAAAAGGTTCCAAGCGCTCCATTCTTTGTTCAACAGTTGCGCGGTTCACTCTGGGTCGCATCTACTGTGGACACACTGCATTGTGTTAAAGTACACACAGTATTAGCTCCCTCAAGTAGTCATGAAGTCTGGCGTCAAAACCAACCTTTGATTTTGCCAGCAGTCGCGCTTGTTAATGTTACTGTCGACTCCTCTATCGTTTATCCGGGATTCGCCCTCACGGCTCGTCCAACATCCCTTAGTCCTCAACCGTTTAGTATTTTTCACAACGGCACCGTTTTCTCGTTTGACGCTGAAGTTTTGAACATGCATTCTGCACTGAACAATACTCTCGTCTGGCCCAAAGTTCCATATTTACCTTCGGAGTTAAATCACCTGTTACATTATTTGAATCAGACTTTTCCGACTCCATCTTATCATCCTCTCAAACACCCTATCTTTCTATCTTCGGTCTCATTGCTCTTGGTGGTTTTGTTCCTTCTCTCCTGCATCACAATATTTCTTTACATCACTCGCAATTCTTTAAAACGTGTCATATCCCCGCAGCTCAAAATCTGTATCTCTGACAGCGTTGCTCTAACTAACACAGTATCGCAACCCTGAACGCTCTTCCTGCATTGCATTGTGCGTCATATCTACTGGTTTTTGTGTTCTATTTTTTTTTGAGGCTTTCTCTTTCTTTTTTTTTATTCCTCTTTTATTTTTGGCGTTATTCCGGTTCCTTTTCTGTCCTTTCATGTCAGCTTCAGAATCAGCCGCTCTACACTCCTATCAGGGCCGTCTCCTCGATCTCTGGCGCACCATCCGCGCTGATTATGTCTCTCACCTATCTACTATTCCCTCCATTGGGGACACTCTCAATCAAATACGTCTTTGGCTTTCACACAATTATATATCTTCTCGCAATTACTCTGATGCCCTACAATGTGTCGCTAAATTTGAACATGCTCCTTCGTCCGCTTCTGATCGTCGTAATAACATTAATCCCGACGAATTTCTCCGCATTGTCTGGTATGCGGTTCAGCCCCTTCCCGAGCTCCATTCTTTGTTTTTCGACCAACTAGTGAATATCAATGATGGCGCAAGTCTCCAAGGCGAAGCCACTCGCTTAATGCAAATTCTGTGGGTCATGGAATCACTTCCTGACTCCCCTACTTCTACCGATCCAACTCACTCTACATCAACTGACTCATCCACCACGTCCACTGAAAAATCGGTTATCTATTCATGCAGCGATGTTCGTTTACGACCGCATCAACACACTGTAACGTCTACTTCTCCTCCTCCGCTTCAATACAATACATTTACTCGCTCATCGCCACGACTACATCAGTTGGGCATACGTCATCTTTACCTCGTTCTCACGTTCCGCCTCTTATGGCTCTTCGTGTCACGCCTTCATCGTCGTGTTTTTCACCGCCGGCTGCTCGTCTCCAACCACTCATGGATATTAACTTTTCGCATTACCTACCGTCACGACCACTGCCGATTTCATCACACATCCATCCCCCGTCATCTTCTACACGATCTACCACCACTCGTATGTGACGAGTATTGGTCACAACCTGTACTCCCAATATGTATAGGTTAGCGTAGTAGACATGGATTTTACTTTGTCGCATGCTGTTCTCTCTTTTCTGTAGTTTTGTTTTCTTTTTCATTTTCCTTTTTTGTTCTTATCTTTTGGCATGTATTTATATGAAATCGAATAGTTTAGTTTAGTAGGTTGTCATTTTTTATAAAGAGTGGTCGAAATAAAAGTATAATATACATACACTACGTATTATGAAGCACACGTACAATAACCTCTCAAGGACTTCTAAGTAGATGAAATATAAGTCTTCCACACACTTCTCATAAGCATTCAAGTAATAATAAAAAGAAACTTTCATAATTTTATACGTCTGAAGAAATAAAAATCTTGACTAAAATGTTTAAAAGCACAATACCTCTGTAAAGAATAGATGGAGTGATATCTATACTCATTCAGTAACAAATTCCTAACTAAGTCTAATAGAACATGAGCCTAGACTTGGTAAATGACATTGCTAGAATAAAGATGGAATGTGGAGTAATAGAATGCTCAGAGGTCTACAACGTCTTATTTTTCAAGAAAGTATTTACTTCAGATATCATCGCACTAAATAAAAAAATTTCGTCTCACCTTTCGAAAGAAGGGTGCACGCTGTTTCTAAAACTTGAAGAATCCAAGCTGAAGTTTTTATCATTTCTAAACATAATTTAACTGATATCCTTGTAGTAAGTGGATATTGTGATGATTCTTTGTCACAATCTCTCTATTCAGTACGTACTTCTTTCGGTAAGGCTAGTTTCTTTTGTTCCGTACTGTTCCTTGTCTGTTTTAGTTCTTTCCTCTCTTTGTACTTTTGTTGTTCTTATCTTTTGTACATGCAGTAGTAAATATATATATTAGTGTTTTTCTTCTGTTAGAGTTAGTTTTTTGTAGTTTGTGATAAAGAGTCGAATAAAAGAGTGATACTACATGTCTTAACGCACGCATACAATCAACTCAAGGACTTATAACTCGAAGAAGTATAGGTTCCTCACAGATATGAGTTTCATTACATGCATTTCTCTCATTGTGTGGGTTTTTCCAAGAAATATATATTTGCATTAAGTACTTGTTTCAATCTGTGCATAACACATATCTTCAAGAGAAAAAATAGCACATGTTTGTCTTTTTCTTTTTAAGAAGAATGTGAAAGATAAAGAAAAAGAAAAAATATTTGTGTACTGCACCCATTTGGTCAGATTACTCATTCTAAAAATAAAATAAAAAATAATTTAAAATGGATTACACAAGAATTACTTCTTTTACAATAGAAAAAAAAATAAATTCACTGAGTATGTATACCAAGCACTAGTTTACAGTTTTGTGACTATTTGTTAACAAAAGTTTATTATACCTTGGAACTTTGTTAATGGATTTAAAAGAGTATCAGTTTAAAGTTCTTGATATTGATCCAAATTCATCGGTGGAAGATGTTAAAAAAGCATACAAGAGAAAAGTATTAGAATATCATCCGGATAAAAATCCAAATAATCCAAATGCTAAAGAAAACTTTCAGCTAATCCAGAAAGCATACGAAATATTATCAAAAGATGAAGAAAGTGGTAGTCAAGTTAACTATGATAGTGATGATAGTAATGAAGATTTTACTTTTGAAGATGGTACAAAAATTTCAAATGAATATCGTTCAAAAATTAAAAAATGGATCGAAGAATATAATAATGATCTTATTATTGAAGATAATTTTACAGAGGAATTAATAACAATTACTAGTAATCTGATAGCAAAATTCGGTCATTTGGAACAAATCTCGACCAAATATGTTGAATGTGATGTGTGTCATCAAACATTTTTGAATGTGATTAATCATAGAGAAGATGTTGTGAGCACATATACATCCCTTTTCGATAATCCGTTCATACCGAGGCTAGATGCGCTGTTGAGAAAGAAAATACATCAGACAATATGGTATTGGAACCCAACAACACCTCAACATACGAACTTATTGTGCAGTAATGAGTGGAATCAACTAGTGAGTTATGTTGAACAAATAATTGAACCTATCCAAATAGTAACAAATCCTCCGTTGTATAACGTATATCTGGATAGAACGAGTGAGTTGTACAAATCAATTGATAAGTTAGCTAGTCTTTTAGCATCAGCAGAATACATAAAATATTTGCCGGATCGAACAGTTGTTCAATCACTTAGACATGCATTTGATAATAAAAATATGTCTCAAATGTCTACGAAGAACAATGATAACGGTAGAAGTCCTTCTGGATCAAAAGTAAACATGTTTGAGCATAAACAAACGATATTGAACAATTATATGGATGCAAACGATCTATACTATATTGTTCAAACTCCGCCTGATCGTGTACAAATGTGGACACAACGAGAATGTAATATTTGCGAGAAAAAATTTAACATATTTCGTCGTAAATCACATTGCCAAATGTGTGGTACATTACAATGCAAAAACTGTCAATCACTTCAAACAATCCCTCATTTGGGGTACATATATCCTGTTAAAATATGTAAAAAATGCATTGAACAACGTTTGAAAATCGATATAAAGATTTTAATGAACTATGTGATTAAACGCATGCTTAATATTGAAAATACTCGTATTGGTGTTATTTTGGCTCTTATTCAAAGTTATAATTATTCCGATACTGATACATTTTTTCAGACAGTTGGCACACACTTTTCTACTTTGAAAAATTATACACTAGCTTTGCAAGCGTACTCTTATGCGAGACTAGATTGTTCAGAATGGTTCAAATTCGCATTTGATGCTTGTACATCATCGAATTACGCATTACTATTAACTTGTATTAATACGTTGACAAAATTATATAAAAAAGATAAAGAATTTTGGATAGAAAAGAGTGATGAGTATGAAAAAATGTCTAATTCTACGTCAACAATTAATGAGTACACAATTTTATCTCTAGTATGCTATGAATACGCTGAAACAACGAGTGAAAACCTGTTAAAAATCTGTTTTAAATATGATAAAAGTGATCAATGTGATAAATGTTTATTCTATCTGTTGTATTTAAACAAAACAATCAAAATCAATTGGAATGTCATGGGTCAAAAATTATTGAAAGAATCTAAAAATCATCATCGACTGGTCATGTTTTTTTTTCAATTAGCTGAACTGTCAACAGATAGCTGGATAGATATCCTGAACATTCTATGTACAGAAGGCGAGTATAACAAAGTGGCATTGCTATTAAATTCACTTGATAAACTGATATTATGCGAACTAAATAAATCCCATGTAGAAAATCATGTTCTCTATTGTTTATTAAAAATGTTGGTGAATGAAAGTGTTGATGATTGGTTGTGTGATGTTGTATCGTTGAAGAGCAATACTAATACCACTAGCAGAACAGTCTGGTGTTTGGCATTTATCCACGTTTCTTTCAAGGTAGAATCGTGGATCACGTTAAGAAACCATTATTTCAGACAAAAACAAAATGATAAATGGTTATTATGTCATAAAATGGGACACTTGTTGAATGAGCCTACAGATGAAATGTTAGTGGATGCACAGATGTTAGAAGAAAATGAACAATTGGCATTTGAAATATTAAGTTTATCAGCGAATACCGATTGGAGAATGTTAGGAGACGACTACTTTGAGAAGCAGAACTATCATTTAGCATTGAGCATCTATTTACAACAAAATGATGATGATATATTCAGGTAGAGGAAATTACGCTCAATATTGTGACATAGAGGCGATCTGTTATTGTATCTCTCTCTCTTTTAGATATCTGTTATTAAAAGCACAATGTCTGACAGATGAAGGCGATCATGACACAGCCATATTGTACAACACGGCTGTTTACAAAAAAAACAAAAAAAATTACGATTTATTACCAACAGTGATTCATAGTATTTGTCGGCTATTGCTTATAAAAGCAGAAGATGTTGTTGATATTTTAATTTCAACAATGAAAGTATATCATTGTAAGTCGAACAAACTGAACCTTTATAAACTACACTTATTATTGATCAATGAATTATCGGAACCAACTTGTATTAGCGGAGGAATTCATTTTCTTAATAACACATATCCAGAGAAGAAAAATACTGAATTAGACGCATTGACCATATCAATCAACGAGCATATTAATAGAATGGTAGGTAAAAATATTCGCTACGCAATAGAACATGGATCATTTACAAAATTAGCACAACAATTGACTCAAATAAACAATGCACAAATATTGAGAATAATTGTGGATGAAAAAAATCTAGGGATATTACCGAATAACCAACGTGCAATGACCCACCTTATTCGAGCACAAATATCAAAATTAGAGAATAATTCTCTTGAAGTTGTAAAAGAACTGGAACAAGCTCTATTATGTTATTATTCAACTGATGAAACTCTGATTGATGCAGTTGTGTTACTATTAAAAAATGTTTCTATTCAACATCGAATACTAACTGATATCACAAATTTAAATTTAAATTTGAAAAGTAACGTTGACTTCATCGATCCATTAATGACACCTACAATAATATCCAACATTGCTCTACCCAAATTATGTGTGTATACCCAGGCATTAAAAAAGTCGAATCATTCGTTAAATTTAATTCGAAAATATGAAAAATCCATCCTAAAACGATCTGATCATTTGAATTTAGCCTTTACTTACTTCGATATGTGTACAACTACTCAGAATTCAACATCTATGATAGCTAATTTTGTAATGGCTAGTATACATTTTTATCAGTTAATGAATTCAACTTGTTCGATTGATAACATCGCAGAGATTTACGCCTATAGAAATACAATTGTTGAATGTTGCAGCATTGTTTACTTTATGGCGAAACGTCGTGTAGGGCCACACATGCAAATCTACTTTTATAAACTAGCTATTACGTTAATTATTAAATCAAATCAGATACTAAAACGATATCTACCGAAACAAAAAGGATCAACACAAGTAGTAATCCTCAAAACTCAAAGTTTATTTATCACCAAAGTACTTGAAGATCTTGTGACAACATGTGAACTGGCACCATTAACTGAACTACCAACATCGGGCACATTTGATACATTGTATATGGATCTAATAGGTGCAAATTGTTTATCAAAATGTCTTGAACAGATGGAAACCATTTACAGTCAATATTTGCTTTTCTCTGGAATATGCAACGGATGGATTGATGACAAGAAATTTGATACATATCGATTAAACTGTATGAACTCATTATTAGACACACGCCAGTGGACAATGAACGATGTACAACTCCTACTAGATTACTCTCTTGTTCCACGTACAAATGACGGTTGGTTAACGAACACTGTTCAACCGCTCAATATTCATGGCAAATATAAATTTTCCAAAGTGGAAGGTATCATGTTTAATATTGAGACTGGAAATATTAATTTTTTATTTCAACAAAGTAGAAACGATAAGGATTCTCTTTTCGGGATAGAAGATGTTGTTGAAATATTGACAAATGGGATTACAAGTTCGTTGTTTACACTAGACCAAGCTGAACCCGTTGAATATGAATCACATCCATTTCAAGAAATGAAATATGCCCCACAAAGTTTAGCACACACCCACTATTTAAAAACACAATTACATTGTTATTATTTACTACAAATGATACTAATGGGAACCGAAGCATGTTCAAAGATACCGTTTCAAATGAGAAACATGTCAACAACACAATTGTCCAAATCATTAAAACCGATGTGCAATGCGACATTTGTGTCGATTGAATCTGGCGAAATTCTCTATCAAGAAACTTACGATGAAGATAAGATTCACTACCATTTCGGTGATGTCAAAATGACAATCACAGTTGACGAGCATACTTTAGATGAATGTTCGTATACTGATAT